GCACCCCAACCCCTGATCGGCCCTGCTCTGTGGTGATAGAGGGCCGGCGCCCAACCCCCCTCCACGCGCCTTGCTCTGTGTGTGACAGGGGTAGAGCCATAACCTCCCCATTGGCCCTGCCCTGTGTGTGACAGGGTGCAGCGCCCCAACCCCCTGATCCGCCCTGCTCTGTGTGTGACAGGGGGCGGTGCCCCAACTCCCCTATCGGCCCTACTCTGTGCGTGACAGGGGGGAGCTCCCCAACCCCCTGATGGGCCCTGCTCTGTGTGTGACAGGGGGGAGCTCCCCAACCCCCTGATCGACCCTGCTCTGTGCGTGACAGGGTACGGAGCCCCAACCTCCCCTGATGGTCCCTGCTCTGTGAGTGACAGGGGGCAGCGCCCCAACCCCCTGATCGGCCCTGCTCTGTGTGTGACAGGGGGTGGCACCGTAACCTCCCCATCGACCCTGCCTTGAGTGTGACAGGGGGCGGTGCCCCAACCCCCCAATTGGCCCTACCCTGAGAGTGACTGAGGGTGGCATCACAACCTCCCGATCCACCCTGCTCTGTGCATGACGGGGCGGCGCCCCAACTCCCAATCAGCCCTGCTCTGAGCCTGACCAGGGACTGCACCTAGGGATTGGCCCTGCCCTCTGTCACGCGGGAGCAGGCCTAAGCCGAGGGATCCCAGACTGCGAGAGGGCACTGGCTGGGTTGAGGGACCCCCCCCTCCCCCCCGAGTGCACACATTTTTGTGCACCGGGCCTCTAGTTCTAGAATAATATGCTTTAGAAGTGAATTTCTATTAACAGAATATAACTTTTTAAAAAATATATTTTTATTGATTTTGGAGAGGAAAGTAGAGGGAGAGATAAATAGAAACATTAATGATGAGAGAGAATCATTGATCAACTCCTCCTGCATGCCTCTACTGGGGATTTTGCCTGCAACCCGGGCACGTGCCCTGACTGGGAATCGAACTGTGACCTCTTGGTTCATAAGTTGAGACTCAACCACTGAGCCACACCAGCTGGACAACAGAATATAACTTTTGATTAATTACTAGAATACAATAACTCCATTTCAAGTTATGAGTTTTATTAATGTGGATTATCATTTAATGTACTGTCTTGAACTAGGCATAATGTAGGGTAAAGCATACAGACTTTGCATTTAGATAACCTGGGACCAAAACCTACTTTTCTTAGGAAAGTTATTTAATCCCTCTGAGTCCTCACCTGTTCAGTGGAAATGATAGTCCTTATTTTAATATGGATGCTGTGAGACTTAAATGAGATAAAAAATAGATGTAACAAACAAATACAGTGTGTGGTAGTCATTCAATCAATGGTTATTTGTTGAGCACCTACAATATGCCAGGCATTGGTACTAGACTCTAGAATGGTAATTCCTGCCCAATGATGCATACATTTTAGTGAGTAATACAGAAAATAAATAAGAGACAAAGAAGTGAATAATTATAAATTGAGATAGATGCTGTGAAAGAAATAAACAGATGTTGGTGAGTGATAATATACATGGAGGTATAATTTAGATAGGGTAGCTGCTTTGTACTCAATGTTTTTGTGCCACCCAAAATTTATATGTTGAAGCTCTGATCCTCAATGTGATATTTGGAAGTGAGCCTTTGGGAGGTAATTAGGTTTAGATGAGGTAATGAGGGTGGGGCCCCCATGATGGGATTAATGCCTAAGAGAGAGCCGACACAAAAAGAAAGGTGGCTGTCTGCAAACCAGGGAGAGGACCTTCCCCAGAACCTGACCATACTAGCACCCCAATCTCAGACTTCCAGCCTCCAGAACTGGGAGAAATAAATATTTGCTGTTTAAGCCACCCATGCTATAGCAGGTTGTTATAGCAGCCTGAACTCAGAGAGAAATTGGTACTGAGAAGTGGGATGCTGCTGCAACAAATACATAAAAATACGCAAGTGGCTTTGGAAGTGGGTAGAAGCTGGAAGAGTTTTGATGTGCATGCTAGAAAAAGTCAGTAAGTCCATAAAGGGATTTTAAAAGCAATTCTGGTGAGAGCTAAGAAAGAGGAGAGGTACAGAGAAAGCTTCCATTTTCTTAGATAATACATAAATAACCATGTGCAGAAATGTCAGTAGAAATATGAATGGTAAAGGCCATTATGATGAACTGTAAAGAAATTTAGAATTTTTCTTTCTAGAAAAATAAACATAAAAATATCTTCTTAATTATATAAATTACCCATTCAAATATTTAACATCTCTTTCTCTTAGGAAATTCTTCTCTATAGCTCACTAAAAATTTTCACACTGCAGTTATAACCCACTAGAGGCCTGGTGCACAAAAATTTGTGCACTCGGTGGGGGGGGGGGGCCAAGGTGGTTCCTCAGCCAAGCCTGTGCCCTCTCACAGTCTGGGACCCCTTGGGGGATGACCACCTGCTGGCTTAGGCCCACTCCCTGGGGTATTGGGCCTAAGCTGGCAATCAGACATCCCTCTGGCAGCCCGGAGCCCTCGGGGGATGTCCACTTGCCAGCGGGGAGTAGGCCTAAGCTGTAGTCAGACATCCTTAGTGCTGCTGAGGAGGCAGGAGAGGCTCCCTCCACCACTGCTGTACTGGCAGCCTTCAGCCTGGCTTGTGGCTGAGCAGAGCTCCCCCTGTGGGAGTGCACTGACCACCAGGGGGCAGCTCCTGCATTGAGCGTCTGCCCCCTGGTGGTCAGTGTGTATCACAGTGACCAGTGATTCCCAGTTGTTCTGCTGTTAAGGTCAGTTTGCATATTACCCTTTTATTCTATAGGATAGAGGCCTGGTGCACGGGTGGGGACCAGCTGGTTTGCTCTGAAGGGTGTCCCGGATCAGGGTGGGGGTTCCGCTGAGGTGCCTGGCCAGCCTGGGTGAGGGGCTGATGGGTGTTTGCAGGCTGGTCAACCCCTCCTCCCAAGTGGGGACGCCCACCCCATGGAGGTTTGGCCAGCCTGGGTGAGGGGCTGATGGCTGTTTTCAGGCAGGCCACACCCCCTTTAGGGTAGGGGGGTCCCCACTGGGGTGCCTGGCCAGTCTGGGTGAGGGGCTGAGGGCCTTTCCAAGCCCCTTTGGCGACGGAAGCTCCCAGCTTCTCCTTTTGTTTTTTATTCTGGGATTTATTTACCTGCTTTAATTGAAACTTTGTTGCTTTAAGTGGAGCTCAGAGCCGGCCGCAGCAGAGAAGCTTGGCTTCCTGCTCGCTCCAGTTCTGTGGCCACTGCCCGCTGAAAGCAGGTATCTGGGATTTATTTACCTTCTATAATTGAAACTTTGTTGCTTTGAGTGGAGCTCAGAGCCGCCGTGGCAGGCGGGGAAGCTTGGCTTCCTTCATCATTGGGGCAACCAAGCCTCCTGCTTGCTCCAGATCCGTGGCTGCCGGCAGCCATCTTGATTGGGTTAATTTGCATATAGTCGCTCTGATTGGCTGATGGGCGTGGCTTAAGGCGTGGCAAAGGCACGGTCAATTTGCATGTTTGTCTTTTATTAGTGTAGATAACTTTTGAGCAAATGCTCTCAACAGAGATCAAATTATCAAGAACCTTTAAGATACAAATACTAAAGTGTATAATAAAAACCTGCATTTATATATCAAAGGAGAAATAAATACATTACACAAAGCATTACCCATTGACTTGTTTTCTTGATTTTTTGTATTTGTTGGCACAGCATGTAATCTTAAATTTAACTTCTCAAAATCACTCTTTCTGGGTTCAGGCTCATTTTTGAAAGAGACATACCTGGAAAATAAAATTAATGTAATTAAAATAATCAGAAAATGTATAAGGCTAATCTAAAAAATAAACTTGGAGAACTGTGGTGATGTCCCAGTTATATAGATCTGGATGTTTTTGTGTTAATATATTACAGTAGAAAGTGTAAAAGAATGGGACTAATAAGCAGGAGCTAAAAAAATTAGTGATATTCACTCAAGGTAAGAAGAGACAGGAAACTGCTGTTGTCATAAAATTGAGAGCAGTTCAGGAAGCTATTGTTCAGGAGCTGGTTAACTCTTTTAGAAAAATATGCTGGAAAGTGTTAAATGAGATACTGGGGACATTGCCATATGAGTCAATATGATGAAACACGGAGTTAGGATCAGTTCAGATACCAGATCACAGCATTTATTCTATATAATAAAAGGGTAATATGCAAATAGACCGAGTGGCAGAATGACTGGAATGCCTGTGGTCACTTGCCTCTCCAGGCCTCATCCTCCCACAGCCCACCCCCCCTCAACCCCGATCAGTATGTAAGAAAGTTAATGGTATATAATTCATGATATTTCTGACCTCTAAATGCTTGTAACGCATGATTCAGTCCTCAGACCTCAGACACTCATCTGTAGTTGGTATTACCCAGTCCCACACCTTTAAATATTACCTATACAGTTATGCTGATGTTCCCATGTACAGACTAGACCAGGGGAGGGCAAACTTTTTGACTCGAGGGCCACAATGGGTTCTTAAACTGGACCGGAGGGCCGGAACAAAAGCATGGATGGAGTGTTTGTGTGAACTAATATAAATTCAAAGTAAACATCATTACATAAAAGGGTACGGTCTTTTTTTTTTTTTTAGTTTTATTCATTTCAAATGGGCAGGATCCTGCCCGCGGGCCGTAGTTTGCCCACGGCTGGACTAGACCCTAAACTCTTGTATGAACTCCAGATTTATATATGCAACTACTACATGACTTCTGCATTTAGATGTATTATAGCCATCTCAAACTTCACATATTTTAAACCAAATTTTTGCTTACACCTTCTTCCCAATCTGTTCCTCATCCTGGCTTCCTCATCTCCATTCAAGCAGAGGCTTAGGCCAAAAACTCTAGTCATCTTTGATTTCTTTTTCTCATTCCTCATTCCCACTCTGTCAGTAAATCTCACTAGAGATTTGTTAACTATAGTCACCACGCTGTATATTACATCTCCAGGACATTTACCTTATAATTGGAAATTTGTACCTTTTGATCATTTTCACTCATTTCAACAGCTACGTTCTTTATGATAGAGTTGTCCAGAAAATAGCAATGAGCGAGAAGAAGGTAAAAAATTTTGTTGTTTCCCTCTTCCTCCTCTCTTACTCCTATATAGGAGGGTGCTGGAAATTATTTAATAACATTTTTTCTAATGTTGGTTGATATTTTTATTTACATTAAGGAATAATATGAAAGTGAACAATGAAAATATATCTTGGACCTTCATATATTCATCAATGACATAGTTACTTCTTTGCTGAGACAGATAATAGTTTTTGAATACTAGAAGAATATTTCCTCAATTTTATTTTTTGCTTTTTAAAATATAATGGCTACAGGCAAGAGACATACTTTTAAGTTTAATCTTCATCATTAACATTTACTCCTTAACTTTCTTAAATCTAGACATACAATATATACAAATTTGATTTGTAATATTTATCAATTTTTATGATGTAAATATCCAAGGTTGATTTCAAGCTACCAATGGGACATCACTGAATATGAAACTGAGAAGAAATGTGTAGTAGCATGATAATACATAATAGTTCTACCATATGGATACAATACATGTAAATAATTTCAAGACTATAGATAATAGTAAAATGTAATAAAATAATTAGGAAGTGATAAATTTTGAATAATGTCTTTGTTTTTAGTATGTCTTTGAATTATTAGTTTACATAATTTGAGTTTTAATAATAACTGTTTAATAACCATCTAACAAAATTCCTGAAAATTCAACAATCAGCTCTAAAAAATTAGTAGGAGCTAACTCTAGCACACCACTGTTCCTGTACCAGAGAAAAAAAGAGATTAGAAGATGGAAGAGGAGAAGGTGTGCTAGAGGAAGATCACACCCACCTTTCACTCACAGGTAGGGGGACAGGAAGAAGAAAATTGCTGGCCATAGCCCTTTTCCATTTCAGCTCTTACAAAGTCATTATTCTGGCTTGATGGGAAAAGGGAAAGCCTTGAGTAGTATGTGGGATCAAAACACCAAACTGGATAGACCAGTGGTTCTCAACCTTCTGGTCCTTTAAATACAGTTCCTCATGTTGTGACTCAACCATAAAATTATTTTCGTTGCTACTTCATAACTGTAATGTTGCTACTGCTATGAATCGTAATGTAAATATCTGATATGCAGGATGGTCTTAGGCGATCCCTGTGAAAGGGTCGTTTGACCGCCAAGGGGTCGCGACCCACAGATTGAGAACCGCTGGGATAGACTTTTAATAAACAAAAAATGATCAGTGAAATTGAAGAAATAAAGAACTATTTTATGTTATATGTTTCTGACTTAAGAATAGGCAAATGAAACAGTTAAGCTAATATTTTATTATAGACTAGAGGCCCGTTGCACGAAGAGATTCGTGCAATAGGCCTTCCCTTCCCCTGGCTGCCGGCACCGGTTTTCTTCTGGCACCCGGGACCAAGGCCTTTGCTCCGGCCCGGAGCCTTCCATCTTCACTGCTGTGGCCCGGAGCCTTTCGTCTTCGCTGGGCTCTGCAACTTCGTGCCTACATATGCAAATTAACTGCCATCTTTGTGGGTTAATTTGCATACTCTCCTGATTGGCTGGTGAGCGTAGCAGAGGGATGGTCAATTTACGTGTTTGTCTATTATTAGGTAAGACTAGGAGCCCAGTGCGTGAAGTCACGTAGCTCTCCCACCCACCCGCCGCCCTGCCTTGACATCTGAACCTCTCCACGCAGAGCTCCAGTATGCCTGGCCCAGCCCCTGACCCCTCTGGTCTTCTCTGGCAGCTTCAAGCCCCGCTCTCAGTCCCTAGAGTCGCCTTGGGCTGGTCCCGCCTCCTCCAGATGCCTCCCCACTTCCACCCTGTCTCCGGAGCAATGAGGTGGCTCTGCCCCTCATGGTGCCAGAGGAGAGCGTGGAAGCCTCCCGCCTGCTGCGCTGTGCTCCTTCCTCTGGTAGGTGGGTGGCGGAGCACTCTGAGAACTGGTGAGGGGCTCTACGGGTCTCACCCCCGCCCTCCCCAGCACAGGATGGTCCCACCTTCTCTGGGCGCCTCCCCACTTCCGCCCCGTCTTTGGAGCAACGCCTCGCAGCGCACACGCAGGCAGCCTCCTGCGATCGGTCTTTAAGTGTTATGGCGTCCCAACCATTAGCATATTAGCTCTTTATTATCATGATTTTTAAAAAATCTGTATTTATAAGTGAGATTCATCAAGGGTTTATAATTCTTGTGGTCAGACAGACTTGAGGATCAAATACAGCTTTATAAAAGAATTGAAACTATTTCATCTTTGTCTATATGCTGAGAAACCATTTAAATAATTCTTTAAAATTTTGAAGAAATGCATTCTGACCCAGCTTCAAGGTGGTACTTTCATAAAATTTTGACTACTTTCAAAATTTTCTGGTTATTGATTTCTAATGTTTTCTTTTTCTTGTTTAGACTATTTTTTCCCATTTATATTTCCCATTCATTTTTCAAAGCAGCATAGCTATATAAAGTACTGATTATAATTATTTTAATTTTTTCTATATCCATAGTTTTAGCCCCTTCCCCATTACTAATGTGGTCCTTTATGTGGCTTGCTTTTTGTCTTCAATTTCTCAAATTATAGTCATATTAACATTCTTCTGGGAGGTGTTATACATACTAATTTTGCCAAATGCTTTTAAAGATTCAGTGTGCTTATGGGAGAAAAGCCAAAAGTTAGGTGGAAGTACATGACAGCTTTTTTCCCCCCCTTCAATAAATGCATACTTAACATGATTTATAGGAAATATATTCAATTAAGTGCCAGATATTTGGCATATAAGATTGAAGATAAACTCTGTTCTCAACTGATTATGACTTTCTTTGCTAGTTTACATAATCTCTTATCATGTTGCTTTCTTGCTTTTGTTAAACTACATTATATGGATTAATTTTGTGAACTTAGTTGAGATATAACTAAATTATAAATCCTGCTCCCTACAAGCAGATAGACTTGTAGGATAGATAAAATGGGTATATACAGTTCTTCTAAATGCACAGGGACCTGGATGAGGGTGTTTCATTACTCATTGAAGAATGAGGCACAATGACTTTTACCACACCATTTATAAGGAGGGTCAAAGTTTCTATCATTCTATCCTCAAGTTTCTTCCTTAAAAGTAGGTGTGAAGGACTGTGAAAGGTCTGAGATTTGACCCTCCTTACAAACTAACAAGTTAGCCTGTCAAAGTTTTATCTATGCTGGCAGAAGACATGAGACTCCTGGATCAGAGGCAGAGGGCCATTTGTTATTCATAGCAATAGGGCAACAAGCAGAGTGCCAGATGACACCTGCACACACAATGGGTTATATCACAGGAATGGAACCCTAGCTTAGGGAACCCAATTTTTTATAATGGACAGTAACATGCCTGCTCTTGCTCAGAAGACGGTACTATCTCTATCTTCCAAGGCTGTTTGCTACATAAACATCCTTGAAACGATTGTCAGAAACAAAGGCAGCCAGTGCCTCTGCTCATACAATATATAGAAATACAAGAGACCTATGAAGAATTTTCTCCCAATAGTAGGAAGAATGAATGAGAGGGATAAGGGCCTAGAAATAAAAATTGTGCTTGTAGCAATGGGTTCTCATATAATATGAGGAATAAAACTTGGAATTATAAATTTTGTGGGTTAATTCACTAGCATAAAATTATAAATTTATTTTTTGTAAGTTGTATTGATTTTGGACTGCTTGTATGTTTTAAAATTCATTTCCCTTTAACCCCCCTCCAATTTTTTTCTTACATTTTAAAAAATTCCCTGTGAGATTATACTCTATTATAGTTGAGTTAAAGGAAATATAGGTGAAGACCTTGTGTTTGCATTGCATGTGCTGGAATTAAAGGGGGGCTGCTGCACGTCCTGGGATAGATCATTGAAGTGGCGCTGGCCCACGGAGGTAAGAAACCCAAGGGACGGGTACAGCTCAGATGGAAGCATGGGGGCTGCTCTAAAAGCCGTCTCTTCCCAACTGGAAATCTCTTATGAACTCCTTCACTGGTAATCCTGTGGGATGTTTTATGTTTTCATGAGACAGCCACTGTGAGATGGAAGTCCAAGCGTTCGTTCTGGCACCATAAACAATTTCAGATACATCTGTGTATAATAAAGATACCTAGTTTGTATCTTTATATTATTCATATTCATATTTCATTTTATTTTGGATAAAATACTTCTTCAAGTAAGTTCCTCAGAAAGAATACATAGGCAGATGACATTCTAAAATCTTTCAGGTCCAACAATATAATTCTCATATATACATGATGATTCATCCAAACAGAGGATTCCAGGATTGCCATTCTGTTCAAAAGCTGAAAATGGTTCACTGTTTTCCAGCTTTAGAGATGCAGATGAGACATATGAAACTCATTTGATTTCCTTGCCTTTGTAATTAACCAATGATTTTTCCTGACTTTGGTATTAATTTTTCCATAAGTTTAGCACTTGGTAACCTTTTGATCTGAAAATTCATGTCTGGCTTCAAAAAAGGACATATTTTTCTAATATTTTTTTGATTTTTCTTACCATCTGTTTCTTGCTCTCCTGATTTATGTATTAGGTATATATTTAGATATTGACTATCCTGAAACCTTACTACATATATTTTCAATCTGATTTCCATTTCTTTTTTTAAAAATTTTTTGTAAGATAGTGTCTCTCTTTGATCTTCTAGATCCGTGGTCGGCAAACTGCAGCTCTCGAGCCTCATGCGGCTCTTTGGCCCCTTGAGTGTGTCTCTTCCTAAGCCTTAGGAGTACCCTAATTAAGTTAATAACAATGTACCTACCTATATAGTTTAAGTTTAAAAAATTTGGCTCTCAAAAGAAATTTCAATCGTTGTCCTGTTGATATTTGGCTCTGTTGACTAATGAGTTTGCCGACCACTGTTCTAGATTATCAATCCAATGTACAACTGTATTCTATTTTTTAATTTCCTTACTCAGTTTTTGATTCTGAAATGCTTTTTTAAAACCCCTTTCCCTGCCCCCTCATTATTTGTCCTCAAGATACATATTTTCTAAAGTTCTCTTCTGCTTCCTCTTATAAAGACTCCTTATTAGGAGTCATCTCTTCTAGTTGTGCTCACCTCCCTCCTTCATGTGAGTCTCCCTGAGATTTCTCCTTGACTATTCATTTCAGTGATTTTTTTTATTCCTTCAGCACCTATAAAGGTCAAGTGATTCTTCCATTGATCTAAAAAAAAATTCTTTTTAAAAAAATTTAAATTCTTTATTGTTTAAAGTATTATTTAAGTCTCCTTTTTCCTCCATTGACCTCTCCCTATCTGCTCCCACCTCCCCCTAAAAAAAATTCTTAATCTAGCCCTAGCTGGTTTGGCTCAGTGGATAGAGCATCGGCCTACGGACTGAAGGGTCCCGGGTTCGATTCCAGTAAAGGGCACATGCCCAGGTTTCGGGCTCGATCCCCAGGAGGGGGCGTGCAGGCGGCAGCCAATCAATGATTCTCTGTCATCATTGATGCTTCTATCTTTCTCTCCCTCTCCCTTCCTCTCTGAAATCAATAAAAATATTAAAAAAATATTCTTAATCTCTCTACTTGCTCCTAACTTATTCTCTATTTCTTACTACTTTATACATGGTAAAATTGCCATTCTCACATGATAATCCAGGACTGAATGCCTAAGCAATGAAAAAAGTCACTTCATCTCTCTTACTAAAATTCCTCATTACAGGTGGTTTTTTAAAGAGACTTTTGTTAAAAAGAGCATGGCTCTTTTGTAAAAGGTCCAATTATAAAAAGTTGCAGAGAAGAGTGTGTTTGGTGTTTATTGAGAAATATTAAAGACTCTGTCCAAATTAAATGCCAAGGACTGAGAGATATTTTTGAATGATTATAAAACTCTGCTTATCAGAAAAGTGATCCTAGGAAGGTATTTCCAGGTGATAAAGGCTGTCACCTTTATCAGGTCCCATTTATCCAAGAAAGATGTAGAAATCCCAAGCTAATAATAACATAGAAAAATGTCTCTGGGAGTAACTGACAAAGAAGCCCTAAGAATTTAACGGTTTTCAATCTTAGCTTTATATAAGAATCATCTCTGGGAAATCTTAAAAATAGTAATGGCCGGGCCGCACTCCAAACCGATTAAAGTAGAATCCAATGATCTTAAAGCTCCCCAGGGAATACTCATGTACGTATGTGTTGGAAATGACTACTCTGAAAGCAAAGCTCAGCTACAAATAAACCTGGGCACGTTTCATCAATTGGGTGATCACAGCCAGGTTGAGAGTTGCTATGATGTCCAGTAAGCCAAGGAAAAGAATGAGACAGATGTTGGTATTTGGCAGCACGATTAGAGTGGGATCTTAGCTAGAGCAGTGACTCAAAGGGTGGTACCCCGAGCAGCAACGTCAGTAATACCTGGAAACTTACTAAACATGCAAATTATCAGGCCCCGGCCCCAAACCACTGAATCAAAAACTCTGCGAGTGGGGCCCAGCAATTTTAGTGAGCCCTCCGTGTTTGGGAACCTTTGTGCTAAGGGAAGTGTTTCTCTGTTGTCAGTGTCCATAGGAATCACTTGTAGGATCTTATTGACTGCAGCTTCTGTCTAGGATGGGGTCAGAGATTCTGCACGTCACACAAGTTCCCAAGTGACATGGATGCTGCTTGATGGAAGGCCGCACTTTTTTTGGGGGGGGGGGACCCAGATATTTTATTTTATATATTTCTTTGTTAATCCTCACCTGAGGATATTTTTTTCATTGTTGTTGTGTGTGTGTGTGTGTGTGTGTTTTGTTGTTGTTGTTTTTGACTATTGCAAACTTTTATTATAGAATGCCTAGGACAGGAAAGCACATGTAGAAAAAAAAATAGAAATTATGCAGTTGTCTATTAACTATGCTTAGTTTTATGTCTGCACGATCAAATTTCAGAAGCTTTCCCTCCCATTTTCTTTCTTTTTTAAAAAAATTTTGTTTTATTGCTTAAAATATTACAAAGAGTAGTACATATGTCTCCTTTTTTCTTTTCCCCCTTGACCTTCCCCCGGCCTCCCCTACCCCCCAGTGTCTTGTGTCCATTGGTTATGCTTATATGCACGCATACAAGTCCTTTGGTTGATCTCTTACCCCTCCTGCCCACCCCCAACCCTCCCCGGGGAAGGCCACACTTTGAAGAGCAAGAAGCTAGAGGTCAAAAGAGAGCATGCCATTACCAGACAGTCTCTGGTAGGAGGTGGCAGTCATGGTGTCAAGTTGAGGCTAAGCTGAAAGCTGTGTGGATTAGATTCAACACCTTGGCTAGGTGTTGGAGTGGGGTTTATGAGCACTGGTGGAGACTCCTAGCTTAGTTATAATTAGCATAGCTTTTTACCCCAGGAGTTGCAGCTCAAGGTTTGGAGGAACTAAATCTATACAATTTAACCGATGTAAGCAGCATATCATTCTCGATATGAAGATAAAAACTTTCTGCCTTCTGCTCTGCTATTTAAGCAATCATTTTGCTTTGACTAGAAAAGGACTCATGGCCAGATAGGATGCCTCCCAGGAGAGGCAGGTTCTGGAGGTAATATGAATTTAGTACAGGGTCAGGTTTTCTGAGGAGCCCTCATAATTTTTAATGACCTCTTTTGCTGTTTTTAATGATATATCTAAGATCCAAATCTGCCTATGCATTGCCCTGTTTAAACCTTTTGGTCGCTCCTTACTGGTTTTGACCGAAGCTGTTTCCTAGGCTCATAAGGCCTTTGGTGATCTGGCCTTTACTGCTACTTACCTCTTTAGCCTCACTTCTTCAGCTCTCCCCCATATTCCATTCAAGTCTAGCAACAGTGAACTATTGTTGATTTCTCAAATCAGATGGGCTTTCCTTTGCCTCTATTGGTTAAAGTTTGAAAAACATCCTGACGTTAATTTGTAGGCATACATAGCTCAAGAAAGGCCTTTCTTTAAAAATTCAGAATTGTAATTACTATCTGCAATAGTGAAATAATATAATGAATATTTTATAAACTATTTTTAATGCTTACTTAGTATGTTATAACTCATAGCCATTATGAAATATACCTATGTTTGACAAAGCTGACATTAATATAGACTGCATAATCTAAGACAAATCTAAAGTAATACTTTAAAACCCCAAGTTGAAAGTTTGAAGTAGTTATGATGGTTACCTTTTAGTTTTTGTAATAACATGTGGCTTGTCTTCTCTGCTCTGTGATACTGTCATAGATGTGGATGTAGGAGTAATAGCCTCTTTGGATTCCAACTGGAAATCAAATGTGAGGGGTGCAACACAAGTCTTCCTCTTTACGTAACCCTGAACACTGTTTTTCTGCAACAAAGACAAAGTTTTAACACTGTGAAAAAAAGAGTGTGTTTCACATAGGGAAAATCCTGTGTGGAAAGGACAAAATTAACCTCACTTTACACACACACACACACACACACACACACACACACACAATTTACGTGTAGTCAATAATGGAAAAATAATACAGATTGAAAATTGGGGGCCTTGTACACCAATTTTTTTATGCCATTGCTGTGTGACCTGAGCTGCTCTTTGCCTATATGTGAAATGAGGGTGTTGGACTAGATCAGTGGTTCTCAACCTTCCTAATGCCGCGACCCTTTTAATACAGTTCCTCATGTTGTGGTGACCCCCAACCATAAAATTATTTTCGTTGCTACTTCATAACTGTAATTTTGCTACTGTTATGAATTGTAATGTAAATATCTGATTTGCAGGATGTATTTTCATTGTCACAAATTGATCATAATTAAAGCATAGTGATTAATCACAAAAACAATATGTAATTATATATGTGTTTTCTGATGGTCTTAGGCGACCCCTGTGAAAGGGTTGTTTGACCCCCAAAGGGTCGCGACCCACAGGGTGAGAACCGCTGGACTAGATAATGGTGAAGGCTCCCTCCTAATTCCCAAATTCAGAAATTAGGAACAACCTATATCTTTTAGGAAAGTCAATATTGATATGTAGAGTTATTGAAAACCATAGCAGGCTGGTTTCTCCAACTTGTTCCTCTTCCTGTCATGATACATGTGATGAATCACATGATTTGTCTAGTAGCATGAGCCAGTACTAGAGTTAGAAAGCAACCAAAGGAGAACTTTGTTCAAATATTTATATAGATGGACTGAAGAGGAATAAGGAGTGCTAAAGAGTGAGTTAAGGAGCCAAAAATCTTCTATAAAAAATTCTCTCAAAGAACAGCACAGAGGAACAAAGAGATAAAAAAAATTTAAAGCAAATCAAAGGATATGAGAACTTTTGCTTCTGCCAATGAAGTTAGATTAAGCACTATGGGAATTGCCTTTCTGCTTCAAACTACTAGAAAACAAGACAAAATATAGGAAGACAACTGTAAGCAGGCATTAGAAAACAAGCAGAGCCACAATCCCTGAAAAAAGGGAAACAAATGAGGTAAACCGTACTGTAGCCCTGCTTCATCTTGGAGGCAGTTTCCAGGCTGAGGCAGGAACTGGGAGGGGGAACTCAAACCAAACCTTGTGGCCTTGACCTTGTTGAGTTTAAGAGACAGATTTCACCAGCAATCACTCTTGGGCATTCACTCCAAAGAAATTTGTTTATTTAAAAACCTGTAAAAAATATTCATAGCAGCTTTATTTTATCTTATTTTTTAGCAGCTTTATTTTTAAAAGCAAAATACCTGCACACTATCCATATGTCCTTCAATGGGTGAGTAACTGAAACTCTGTATATTCATATAATGGAATACTATTCAGCAATAAAATGTATATATTATTTATAATAATAAAGCTATTGATTTGTATAAGATCTTAGATGGACCTCAAGGGCATTATGCTTAATTTAAAAAATCAATGTCAAAATTTTACGTACTGCCTGGCTGACAAAGCTCAGTGATTGAGCATCGATCTATGAACCAGGAGGTCATGGTTCAATTCCCAGTGAGGGCATGTGCCCCGGGTTACGGGCCCCATCCCCAGTGTAGGCATGTGCAGGAGGCAGCTGATCAATGATTCTCTCTCATCATTGATGTTTCTATATCTCTCTCCCTCTACCTTCCTCTCTGAAACCAATAAAAAAATATTTTTAAAAAGTTTACAGACTGAATGATTATACTAGAGGCCTGGTGCACAAAATTTGTGCACAGGAAGGGGGTGTCCCTTAGCCTGACCTGCACAGTCTCCAATCCAGGAGCCTTCAGGCAATCTGGCCTCCCTCTGCAGGAGGTGACAGGGCTGATCAGGGGAAGGCACTGCCCCCATCACCCTGCCTTCGTGCTGCCACTGCCAGCAGCACAGCCACCAAGGTGTTTTCATTGACACGAACTCCAGTCCCTTCACCACAAAAAAATGACAACTTTCTTTAGGCATTTTCAAGATGTCTCTTTCATAAGATATGACCTTTCTTTCTTTCTTTCTCTTTCTTTCTTTCTTTCTTTCTTTCTTCCTTTCTTCCTTTCTTCCTTTCTTCCTTTCTTTCTTCCTTTCTCTCCTCACCTGAGGATATTTTTTCATTGATTTTTAGAGAGTGTGGAAGGGAGAGGGAAAGACAGAGAGAAACATCAGTGTAAGAGGGACACTTCAATTGGTTGCCTCCTGCATCAGCCCTGACCTGGGCCCTGGCCAGGGAGGAGTCTGCAACCTAGGTACATGCCCTTGACCAGAATTGAACCCAGACCCTGCAGTCAGCAGACCAAGGCTCTACCCACTGAGTCAAACTGGCTAGGGCAAGATATGACATTTCTTAGCCCCTCCAGCAGTGGACCTTTGCTTTTTCCTCCAGGAGTGAGGTGGAAAAACCCTAGATCACCTTCTTGGATTCTTTTTTTTTTTTTTAAATATATTTTATTGATCTTCCACAGAGAGAAAAGGAGAGGGATAGAGAGTTAGAAACATCGATGAGAGAGAAACATCGATCAGCTGCCTCCTGCACACCCCCTACTGGGGATGTGTCCACAACCAAGGTACATGCTCTTGACCGGAATCGAACCTGGGACCCTGGAGTCTGCAGGCCGATGCTCTATCCACTGAGCCAAACTGGCTAGGGCACCTTCTTGGATTCTTATTAGGCAAGTTACCAAGAACACTGTGAGTGGCGTATGAGGAGCTTAGCCAATGAGCGGTCAGAAAGATGTTTCCTCTGCAGCTCATGCGCAGAGGCGGGACTGCCAGCGTGCTGCAGCTGGCCGGCCCTGCTGTCTGCGGGCCTGCTCGCTCGCCATGGTGCCTGGCAGCCAGGCCCTGCTCTCTGTGCCTGCCTTGCCCTGCCACCAGGCCGCCAGCCTTACTGTGATAGGAGCCTGTGGGATGCGGGGGCGGGATCCAGAGTTGCTCCATGCACTTCCTGGTGATGGTCATCTGTCTGGTCGTGATGGCCCTAGGCTATTATTGGTATAGATAACATTCTCAAAATTACATTACTATAGAGATAGAGAACAGATTAGCCCTTGTCAGGGACAGAGACAGGGAATGGGGTGAGGGTATGGATGCAAATACAAAGAAGTAACATGAAAGAGTTCTTTTGTGGTGATGTAAACATGCTGTATTTTGATAATATTGCATAAAGCTACACATACAAATGACCAAATGAATGCAGGTTAAAATGGGGAAAACTGAATAAAGTCTGTAGTCTGATTAACAGTAATATGCCAGAGTTGTCAATATCAGTTGTGACTCATACTGGTTTTGACATTGTACAATTTTATCTCATTATAGATGTGTGTAACCAGGACCACAGTCAAGATACAGCACTGTATAAGGTGTCACTAACAGGGGTGACTGGGTGAAAGGTATATGGGACTCTTTGTACTGTTTCTTCAACTTCCTGTGAGTCTATAATTATTTCAAAATAAAAAAGTTTTAAAAAATTAAAAAAGCAATTACCAAAGTGATTTACATATTGTTATCTCATTCTTGGTCATTAATAAAGCAAAGAGAGGCAATCCACTTTCATAAAGATGTTTATTCACTTGAGTTCCTCTTTGTGGTATCTTCCTGGATTTCTCCTGCATGCTCTTATCTATGCCTCATTTATTCACATTGTTATATTATTTTGCAAGTTTTTGTGTAAACAAATTAAATTGTTCATATGTACTAAAAATCTGTTTTGTGAGGATTTATTATTCTTTGGTGTTCTTTATCATCCTTCATTTTTTGAATTTCATAGGAGTCTTACCTTTTTACTTAGATTAATTTCTTTTTTTTAAATATATATTTTATTGATTTTTTACAGAGAGGAAGGGAGAGGAATAGAGAGTTAGAAACATTGATGAGAGAGAAACATCGATCAGCTGCCTCCTGCACACTCCCCACTGGGTATGTGCCCGCAGCCAAGGTACATGCCCTTGACCGGAATCGAACCTGGGACCCCTGAGTCCGTAGGCCAACGCTCTATCCTCTGAGCCAAACCGGTTAGGGCTACTTAGATTAATTTCTATAAATCTTAATTATTTTTAATTTGGTAACTATACCAAATACTAAATATTTTCTTCCTTTTAATTTTCCTTTTATTTACTTTTAACCAAGTAAATAATTGTTTAAAAACATTTTTATTTATTTCAGAGAAGTAGGAAGAGGGGAGAGAGAGACAGAAACATAAATGATGAGCGAGAATCATTGATTGGCTGCCTCCTGCATGCCCCTTACTGGGGATCAAGACCACAACCCGGGCATGTGTCCTGACTGGGAATTGAACTGTGACCTCCTGGTCCATAGGTCAATGCTTAGCTACTGAGCCACACTGGCCAGGCACCAAGTAAATAAATTTTAACATGTTTAACATGTTAGTAAGAATAACAGGTATCACATTTACTATTTGACTGCCTAGTGTCTTAAGCAGTTTAAATATATCATAACCTAATATGGCACCTATCTAGAAGTTACCTTATATCTAATTATTTCTTTATAGTATCCACTTGCATAGATGACTCAATATACTCATTTGTTTTTTACAAATTAATTTATATCTTCATATTAACTAAAAAGTAAAAATAATCATTCACATTGGAAATGACAACCTTTCAATACTTAAATTAAATCTTAGCTTTTATTTTACAAACCTTTATTCTTCTGGCCAAGAGTATCTTTGCTTGCTGGTTTAGAATTTCTAACTTCTCTACAATTTTTTCTGCCATTGTCAGTCAGTAAATTCCTATTTAAAAAGGAGAAAAATAAAACAATTTAAACATATCATTGGCTATTTAGGCATAAATTAAGAGACTCATCTTTATTTTACTGTTTTAGGTAAAAAATAAAAAACTGTATAGATAGATCATGGAATAAATCATAGAATTTTAGAGGTCAAAGCTTTTAGGTAGAAAGTCACATAATCAGAACTTTCAGATGTGTGTGGGCCTTAGGAATTTTTAAATGTATGATAAAGGTGAGTTGAAGAAAATTCAAGATTACCGTATGAGAAGCAGATGTGACTCATACTTTAATATACAGCATGATTTATATCTATTTTCTTTTGTCATAATATATTTTTTAAAAAATATATTTTATTGATTTTTTACAAAGAGGAAGGGAGAGGGATAGAGAGTTAGAAACATCAATGAGAGAGAAACATCAATCAGCTGCCTCCTGCACATCCCCTATTGGGGATGTGCCCACAACCAAGGTACATGCCCTTGACTGGAATTGAACCTGGGACCCTTGAGTCTGCAGGCTGACACTCTATCCACTGAGCCAAACCGGTCAGGGCTGTCATAATATATTTTAATAAAAGTAAATGTGAAGAGTTCACATTTATATAATCAGTTGCATTAAAATTTAATGATCAGTGATCCAAGACTGTTAATATGGCACTTCTATTCCCCTTCTATACTATGTGTTTCTTAAAGGTAGGAACCATGCCTAATTCATCTTTGCATCCCTAATACCTAACAACCTGAATGAATGAATTAACCATCAGCAATAGAGGAAATGGATAACTGTAAGTGCTATGACTGCTTTTAGCCTGCATTTACACTTATGAGAATACACAAATCTTTGATAGAGTTCTGTTGAGTCCTTCTAGACCAAGCCATAGTATTAAAGAACATTGCTTTCTCTCCCATCTTCAAACTTAGGAAGGCAGCATAGTGTCTAGTTAGGAACATGAATGCTAAAGTCAGGATACCTGGGTTTGACTCCTTGGCTCAGCTACTTACCAGCTGTGTGACTATGGGCTAATTGCCTAAACTCTCTGTTGCCCCATCTGTAAAATGGGAATAATAAAAGTACATACTTCATGGGGTTGTTATGAGGTTTAATTGAGTGAATATAAGTAACATATTGTGGGGAAGCATGAGACTTGGTTGGAAAGTTTGTAAGGAGGACACTCGGAGAAAAAGGGAAGTGTGTGGAAGGCCATCTGCCCTGTTTATGGGGATTCCGACTTAGGTGAGACTTAGGGGAGTACCAAAGGTGGTGCCCCTAATTATCCCTTGACCTTTCCAAACAAGTCTGTGTGAATGCAGACCCCCAGGTGTTTACTGGAATCCTTATGCTTAATCTTTAGGTGTCCTTACTTAAAGGACATTACAGACACATGTGTCCTCCCAATATTACTTACCCTACTGATTGTATCTAAAAGATAAACTTTATTTCAAACTGCTATTACAATAAAAGCCTAATGAGGCAGGCAATTGAGGTTGTCTGGTTCCTTTAGCCAGGCAGTCCCTTAGCCCTCTCTTTCACAGCAAACATCATGTCAGAGTAATCCATTCATCTGTCACTCAGGGTCTATTGGTCAGTCCTGGCAACATATAAATGTTTGGCAAATAAAATAAATATAAGTAATGATATACTTACAAGTAAGGAATAAGATATGTGATATTATCTATTAGTGCTGCAAAATGCATGTTCTTCAGCTGTATGTCATTTTGTTTTTTTTCATCATACCTGCCACATGCAATCACCAATGATATCCATGTATCTGATGGCCTACTTTTTTCCTTCACAGTATATTTCTTCAATTACTCTAAATCCTTGTAACTTAGGAAACAATAAGAATTTATTCAGCAAGTCAGTATCTTCTATTTTGATATGGCAATTCAGTATCTTCTGTACCATGTCATTTGATTATCTTGCTTCCTTTCCTTCTCTAGTTTTCTCACAGTTTTACTTCTCAGTTTTCTATTAAATTCTTATTCTGAGGTCAGTGAACAGAAACTAGAATGTGCTGTCCTATAAAGCACAAGTGTAGGCCTCCTATTTAGGGAGACTACTGTGATAAGCATTACTTTGTTTCCAAACTGGAAACTCACAAAAAAACAAAATTAGTTTGTGCTTAAGTAAATAGATCTAATTATCTTCATTTCAACTGATATAATAGGTGGGTGGGAAAGATGATCTCACTTCTTAAATATGTAGAGATATGTCTGAAGCATTCTTACATATACTTAGAGTTGTGGGAAAACGCCTTCTTCTGAGAGTATAGGGTTCTTCTGTGGTCAGAGAAGACTAACTCATAGAATCTTGAGGTCAGAATGAGTCAACAGTCTTTCACATAATTCCATGAACAATGAGGCAATGTTGACCCCAACTGGACAAGACCTTTCAAATCCTTACTTTTATTTCCATTGCCATCGTCTTCCTTCAGACCTTCTGGTTTTCACTTTCCCTCCCCTAGGTTATTGTACTGTACTGTCTCCTTATCCTTCCCCTCCTTATCTCTCAATTATTGATCCTTCAAAATGCCATCAGAACTGTGTTCCTTAAACAGGACACTGATTAAATCCAGCTCCAGGCCACAAACCTCGACTTGCTCCCCATCACCTGCAGAATAACTCATAAACTCTTCAGATGACATACAAGATGTTTCAAGAAAAGACTGTCGAGGATCTGGCTGTCTGCCTTTCCAGTTAGTCTCCTACCATATCCTGTCTTCTGCAATACTCTACTACTCCTATTCCCTGGATGCACTCTGCCGTTTCCTCAGGCATATCTGTGCTTCACCATAGAACCTGGCATCATGCTATGGAGATTCACTCTCTGACAAATCTCTTTCTCACTTTATTGAAGCTCATTGAAAGCAACAATTGACTTACCCACCTCTGAATCTCAGCACCTAACCAGGATCTGAAAATGACAATTGAATTTGGAGATGTTTCCAATTATAACATTTTATGGGGAGTAATCTCAGCTTATCTGTAATAGATGATGTTAATTCATGATGATTTACTGGGGGGATGAAATATGAAATTGAGTGAATTATTTTAAAATGTGGTTCTTGCCAAATCTAAATTCAGTAAAATGATTTTCAAAGGAAACTTGGGTTCATGTTCTCAATTACTCGCTCAGTAATGACAGTTTTTTTTTTTTAAAAAGAACACAATGAAATAGAGAACTTGCCAACTAGGGCAGAATAAAACTCCCAGTGACTCTCACCATAAGTCATCCATAGGCCTCATTGCAAAGACTTGGCTATATCAATGAACAATTTCAAGGTTGCAGGGCTAACCCTATAAGCACATTAGAGTCTGAGTCCTTACTAAAAATAACAATATCAAGTTAAAAAGTTACTTTTGAAAGCAGAGCACTATTTTACAGTTAGAACCTTCTGGACTGTAAAAAAGATTCAAACAAACAATACAAAATTCCCTGGGTCAAGCTCCCACTGAAGCTAGAGTTATTGCTAGACCTTTTCAGTTTACACGATGAAATAAACTCTCTTTATGTATAGACCAGTTTGGATTTGTTTTTCATTTTCTACAAAATGAAGTCTAAATACTGTGCTCAACAAATATTTGTCAAATGAAGGGAAACCATAAAATGGGTAGATTACTGATCTCATAGGGCTATTCTGAGAATTAAATGATTTAGCAATCTGAAGAACCAAGCACAATGTCTAGCAAAGAGCAGATACTAAAAACTTTCATTATGTTTCTGTGCCCTAACTTTCTCCCTACCCCCACAAAGTCCACACAACACAGTTCGAAAGTGCTACTTAAACCTGATTTTACAGTACTAAGAAAATACATATTCTCAAATGTTTGAATTATTAAATACTAAATTTCTTTCCTCTAAATTCTTGCCTCCTAATAAAGACCACAACTTTAAGTATATTTCTTTGGATAGCATCTTAAAATGTTTTACTTGCTATACACACAAAACCACAATAGTTAAAGTAACAGATTGTTAGACCTGACTTCATAAATATTATACATTTCTGCATGTTAAAAAAACAACGAAATTTCCAAACATGCTAAACTTGGAAAACTGCTCAATATGTGTAAATAGAGCATTCTTAAAAATCTTACAAATTGTTAAGAACAGGATAAACACAAAGAAAAAAAAGTGCATTGAATATAAATAGTCCATTTGCAAAGGAATATCTATAAATGACCATTAATTATATTTTTAATATCAATAAAATATTCAAAGTTATATGTATTAAAACAACAAAATATAACTTTTCCCTTACACAGTATTGGCAAGAAGGGGGAAGGAGCAGAGACCTATGAACACCTATGCTCTATTGGCAGAAGTGTAAATTGTTAGGATGTTTATTTACAACTTATATAAAACTTTCAAAAATATATATAATCTTTGACCCAGCAATTCTACTTCCAAGAATTTATATTTAGAAATTAATAATAGAAATTCTCAAAGAGTTAGGAACAATGATGTTGATGTAACATTCTTTATAATGGTGTGAAAAATTAAAAGCAGAATAATAGCAATGATCTATTATTTAGTTTTGAAATCCCAGCTATTAAATTTATTACATGTCAAATACTGTACTGAATATCAGATATATTGTCTCAGTTAGTCTTCATTTTATAGATTAAAACTTGAACTCAGAGACGTTAAGCATGCTGATCAAGATCATGAAGCCATCCTGGCCTGCGTGACTCAGCGGTTAGAGCATCGGCAATCCCCACATCTCCACACTGAAAGCTCTTGAGTTTGATTCCCTGTCAAGGGCACATACCTGGGTTTCAGGTTGGCTCCCTGACCCCAGTTGGGGCACCTGCGGAGGCAACTGGTCTATGTGTCTCTCTTATATTGATGTTTCTCTCCCTTCTCTCCCTCCCTCCCTTCTATGCTCTCTGAAAAGCCATGGAAAAAATATCTGCAAATGAGGATTAACGAACAAACAAACAAATAAAATATTTCATTTAAAAAAATCATAAAGTCTATGATCTTTACTACTATTTTTAGATTTTCT